GCCCCGGCGTGAGCGGTGATTGCCCGTGCCCGGCCCCGGCTGCTTCTGTCTCCAAAGCCGCCTGGCCGCCCGCCTCGTGTGCCGGTCTGAGGCTTGGCCTCGGCCTCCTCCCGCCTACCTCGCCTCAGGGGCCGCAGGGCCGGCATCAGCCCCAGGTGTCCCTGGCTTCCTCCTGCCTCCCTCGGGCCCGGGCCGGCGTCAGCCCCAGGTGTCCCCGGCCTCGGCCGCCTACCTCGCCTCAGGGGCCGCGGGGCCGGCATCAGCCCCAGGTGTCCTGGGCCTCCCTCCCGCCTCCCTCGGGCCCAGGGCCGGCGTCAGCCCCAGGTGTCCCCGGCCTGGGCCTCCTCCAGCCTACCCCCCTCAGGGTGGAGGCCCGAGCCACCTTCAGGCTACCTTTGGAATGGCTGTCCCTTGTCATCCAGCACCAGAGGAGAGCTCAGGTCAGCTTTGTAAAGAATGCTTTTTCCCCAGGAAAACGAACAAACACTACTAGCACTGAGCTGGCTCTTGGTCCCTGTGACCCTAGTCCTAAGGAAGCAGGGAAGGGCCCTGGTTAGCAGCAAGCAGGAGTCCCAGAGTGTGTAGGAACTGGTGTGTAAGAAGTCAGTATTACACAGAGTGGAAAAGCAGAGTGTGTAAGAAGTCAGCGTCACACAGAGTGGAAAAGCAGAGTGGAAAAGTAGAAGAGCTCGTGGCAGTGCCCAGGCCCTATTTGAAGCCCCAGTATCAGCATAAAAAATATGAAGTAAAACCAGAGACAGAGTACAAGTATGGCTGAAGAGGTCCTAAGTGCCTAAGTCTGTTACTGCCAGAGGAAGTAAAATAAGGTACTCAAGAGAGGATTCATTGAAATGCTCTAGGGTATGTATTCATATACAAGATGTAACATGGAAGAAAGGCATCAAGGAGCTTTTTGCTTTCTTCCTTTTTTCTTCCTCTCTCTTTCTCTTTTTTTCTTTCTTTCCCTCTTTTCATCTTTCTCCTTTTTTATTGGTCAGAAATCATTACTCAAACTCAGGATCTGAGGCTTGCTTTTGAGGTGGCTGGCAACCATCCAAGCCCTCTTTCCCTCAGTCTCATTGGCCTCATGAATCTTCACTTTCTTCCTGGGAGGCATGTGATCCTGTTGCCTTCCAAGGATCCTTCAGCTGGACACATCCTGAGAGGTGAGGGCTAATTAGGGCTGCAGTCCAAAAACGATTTCCTCACCTGGCTTTATTTACTCAAACACTTAATCCTACCTACACAGGATGGTAGTTTGAAGGCAGAATGTTGAAAACAGAAAAGAAGGTCATCATGGTAATCTTAGAGAAAGAGTAGAATAACATCAATGTAGGCTTGACTTGCAACCCCTAGGTCCACTTGACTGCCCATCTGGCAGCTTGGCTTGGATATCTCCTCCACTTTTCTCAAGTGCCAACCTGGCTGTGACCCAGCCTTCAGTCTCTCAACATCCCACTCTTACTCAGAACCCCAGAAGGCTTGGCACAGCCACTGCCAGTGACACCTACAGAAGCTGGAGTAAGGGTGTCATTGAGGGAGCTGTGGGCCCTTGGGGCTGAGTGCTGATGGCACTGACCTTGTCGTAGCTGCGGAGGGGACACCACTGCCGCCTGGGTGATGCCTGTGAGGCGGCCATAGCTGATGGCTTGGGCCCCGTTCACTCCTTGCACCACGTCCGTATGTGGACATGGTCTTT